AGATAGCAAGACTTCTAGACCAACCCTGGCTGGTGTGACAAAAAAAAATTTAATTCCTTGTTTTTTTTAAATGGTTTGTGTTTCTCCGAATTTTATTCTCAAGGTTTCATTATCACTCAGAACGCGGATAAATATAAAATCAGCCGACGGCCGATTAAAAGATTCGATTTTGAGGAATAAATCATCAGCTCCACGCCTAGGCCTTAAACACCGCGGTTTCGAATAAACAACTCCTTCCAGGCCCAGCCATGAGAACAGGAAATGAAAATAAATTCATCACACATTATTACGCAACCTCACACGTATGACACAATGACGAAGCGAGACATTCAATCTGAGCATCTGTACCCCGACTAACTGTTCATAAACCTCCCAGCAGATGTTCGCTGCAATTCCATTCTAATCACCTCCGAGTGGCGATAATTATTGCGATTCAAGGAGAGTGATAATTACTGGAGTTCCACTGGCAAATTAAAATACTCCCCTATCAATTTTTAACTGCTCGAATCATTGCCTCCGCTGGCTAAAATTATCCGTTACTCATGTAACTGATTTTTCGGTATGACATCCCAAAAAAAAAAAAAAAATACCACCCCGATCTAGGTTTTCCCAAATAAATTGAAGTTGTGATGTCCCAATTTCATGGGTGACCCCCAACTTCCCCGTGCTTCACACCCCATTGCACTCGTACCAAAATACCCTACGTCACATTAAAAAAAGTTCATTGACCCCGACTATCTGATTTCCAACGAACATGCCTATAATTTTATGAATGTTCCATGGATGACTTCAGTGAATAGGTTGGGCTACTGGGACGTAGTTTACCTGTCGATGGGCTTTTGGTCCCATCTTTTTTTTCTGTTCAACTTCCTCTGGTACGTCGTGTGCGCTCTCCAGCGTTTCTCTCCGGCCTCGGCCGGCCTTGCCCCGCAGTGGGAGGGTGAGGTGGGAGGGAGGAGGATGAGGAGGAAGACGAGGAAGAGGAGGAAGAGGAGGAAGAGGAGGAAGAGGAGGAAAAGGGGGGGTTAAGGGGGAGAGAAGGTAAAAGGGGGTGGCAAATGGGGGGAATTGTGCGGCTCACGTCCGTTACCATCTACTAACAGGTTCGAAAACATCTGCAACAGAACATATATACCGAATGAGGGATTAGAAAGGCCAGTCGCGTGTGTATTTCGTGTATAGCGTGCGTAGGAGGGAAAGTTACTTCAATTTCTCTCCCACCCATGATCGCACTCTTTTAACCCCTCATCCTCACGCGTCTCATCTCGTTCTCCCATTACCCGATGCAATGAAATTCGCTCGATATTTCCAGGTGTCCCTTTCCATGGGCCTCTCTGTCCCTCTCAATCGTCAAGATCGGTATCCATTTCCATCCATTTCCATCCATTTTCATCACTTTCCATCCCTTTCCATCCCTTTCCATCCCTTTCCATCCCTTTCCATCCCTTTCCATCCCTTTCCATTGTCTCCAGTATTTTTATTCAACGGGTTAAAAAATAATCCGGCAACGTTGAATACCCACCCATTCCGTATTTCCTCGAACTCATAAAAATGTGGCGGGTCGTGGAGGACAGGACACCTCACCGACAGAGGAAGTGCCACTTCGTTAGTAACAGGTCTTCAACACCTTACCGATGCCTCACTTGAATTACGTATTGCCATTATTGTGGCCAGTCTTGAGTCCTTTGTATTTTTTCCTTGTCTTTTAACTGGTCGGATACATCAATCGGTTTATTGGATTCTAACACACGATGCCGACACACATTTCTGGTAAAACCAGAGGGTGCTGTAATAGTAATAGTGCTATTGTCGGTTAAAACTGTCGAGATCCTATTAAGTTCATTATTCCGCGTCACCAATAAATGCTCAACCTCCTCCAAGTGGTGTTTTTTTAATTTATTTAGTTACTGTTTCTTTCATCCGGTCGTTTATTGCTGATGTGCGTGAGCGAACGCCACCACTTGCTTTTGTTCTCCGGTACTAGTTTTCATCCGACTTGGCTTTGATGTCCAGGACATAACACCGTAATATTTATTACGGTGGATTTGTTCTTATTCTGGTGAGTTTCATTTGCTCCAATTCGTTCCAATTATTTGTTGGCAATATTTTATGGATTTCTACATTGCATGCTTGATTGAACCTAATGTGGTCACCAGTCCTGGAATGCGATGGGGTTTTGCTCATTCTGATGGGTATGATGCAGTTTTTTTTTTCATCAAGAGTATTTACATCAATTTTTTAGATCACGGTTGATTGATGGTCGGACCGTGAAATTCTGTCAAAATTCATGAGCAACTAATGGATTTTTGTGGTACATTTTTTTTTTTAATGCAGAATAAATGATTGGCCTGATGAGGGACGGCTTGTGGGTGTTTTTGATCTATTTCGTTTATTTGAATAGTAAATGGTTCGATGAATAAATTTGATGAGTGACAACCTCTGAATCCATAAAATTGTCTCCAGCAAACTCTAAAAGGGCCTCGAATATCTTTAAACCAAAATAACCGCGACGAGAGGTAGGAGTCGACCACACAGACCCGAAAAGTTATTTCAAAAGTTCTGGTGAAATCATGCGACTGACCTGATCGTCAACCTTTCTTCTCACTGGAAAACAAAGGAGCCATTAGAATTAATGGACCCCTGCAGTTGGTCGTGGTATGTCTCTCGAGTTTTTAAGAGAATAATCTGATTTTCATCTGCAAGACACGAGCATGATGCGACGAATTATCCGGGAAAAGAGTAATCGACGGAATGAAGAGTTAAAACCGGATTCGGTGTGGCTTCTTTAGATATTTAATACAATATCGTGTGAAATGGGACAAAGGAAATAGGAAAAAGAGACAAAAGGGGATATCTACCAGAGTAGAGAGCTACATCCTGATTAGTGTTGTCTATCTTATCTTCAAACCCCGAGTCACGAAGGTAAACGGGTTTGGAACACTAATTGCTCGAGTTGATTTGAACGGGAGTGGGAGAATGAAAAAAAATCGTGGAACGCCTAATTTTGTCATCGGTATTAATAAATCAAATCATCGAGAGTTTCGCACTTTCGTGGAGAACTCGCAGGCAAATATTGATTTTGACACATATTTTTTTGGAATTTTCGGTTGGAATGGAGTGCGAAATTTTCACCAGGTCCTTCTTGTTCTTTCTTTCAGAACATTATTTTGGTGAAAACGTTGAAAATAGCGCAAAGTTGTCGGTTTTAACGGAGCACTTAGTGGATGATTGAGGGAGACAGTTATCTCGGAATGGTTGGACCGTAGTTTAGACGGATTTAGATAAATCGGTTTGGATGTTCTGGCACTCAACACAACGACTGTCGGTCATTTCAACCAGTTGCTTTTGAGTACCCTGACTATGAAGATCAAATTCACTTGAACGATCTCAGATCCAGTGGATGGCTACTCCGAGTCGACGATTTACATTGAATCTTCGTGGAAAAAAAAAGGGAACAATAAGGAATACCTCGAATAATTCTTGTTGTTCCATCCAACTGGATTTTTATTGAAATATGAAAATGAATAGATATCAATTTTCTCCTTCATCGAACAGATCTTCTGGATTTTCACGTCGAGTAAGTATCTGCGAGGATAAGGATAAGATCTGGAGAACTTTGAGCTCTAGAGATCGAGAATGATAAATACCACAGGCTTCTTCAGGGAACTTTAAAAATATTTTCATTTTTTCTCTCTGGAATCGTGATAATCCCTTATCCTTATCAACATTACCTGATTTCACTTGGCAGCGTAGGTTGTGCTGGAGTGTTGGATATCATAAGTTAGACACTCATAAATGTACATAAAATACGGATGAATTATGTACCCCATTATTCATGAGTCGTCGCTGTAATCACGAGAGTACGTTGACAAGAGAATTTCTATGTATTATCCAGACATTTAACGATCAACTGTTGTGCGTATTTTCATGCACTGTTAAGTGTTTCTGTATGAATTGAATTGTTTTATTTTTTTTTGGTGAATTTTACGAAGGCCACCCCCAATTTCATCTTGAAAAATATCTGAGTGTGGGAACAGGCTAATATTATTCATATAAACTCGGTTCAACCATTTTCTTTTCCGTATATAGTGAGAGATTCCTTTCCGGATTGTTACGCCAAAAGAAATCATCTCTCTTCCGTTTTTCCAACGTTATCTCAACAATCCACTAATTCTATTGTTGTCCCAGGGACTATTGCTCGAATTAAGAGACCATGAGAGAAAAAAAAACAATTTTAATAAGAGATTAACTTGAGTAGTTCCTTTTTTAAAATAATTTTTCTCTTCAAAATTGAAAGGTCGAGAAACTTTCGACTTTCTTGTAAGAATCAAAATCCCATTTTTTTTATTTATTCATTTAATTTTTCTCATATCTTATAAATAAATATATTTAGTTACCTGAAAAAAAACTATTCACTCTCCAACCCCAAATTTCTCCCTTCGAGTGATTTCCAGGAATTCCTCATTAGGTGTCCAACAATTACGATTTCTCTGCCCTAAAAATCGTCTCAATTATGACCTTGGATGTACGCTCAATAATGACTAACATTAAGGACTTCATCGACACAATTAACTTACTTGTAAAAGTAAATTTTCTCGGCAGGAAGAATCTCAATCTAATTACACGCATTTTACTTTTACATCACCTATTAAAGAACACTTACATCTCCCAACAAAGCGCTAAGAAAATCCCTACAGAAAACATTCCCTAAAAATTCAAAATGCAATTAATAACCGATTGAATTGATTGAATTAATTGCAGAAATGAATTAATTCGAAAAAATTTTTTTGTGGGATCCTCGGGAGTTTCCGTAGCTCCTCGTCGTGTCATGGCGGATTAACACGAAGCAACTGGACGGGGGGAACTGGAAGGGGCAGACGGAGTAGGGGAGCGATCCCCTCTCCCGGCATCAGCTGCTCCCCCACCTCTGAGGGAAGAAACAATTGAGAGTGGGGATGCACTCACTGCTGTGCACGAACCGTTCAATTGTTGGCCAACCGTCGGAGGGAGTGGTCGACGTGTGTCACCGCGCGAACGCGTTTTTTTTTTCTCAGTATCAAATATAAACGGATACAACAATCGAGAATAATAATCGCACCAAGTCCCCGTCGACGTCGACACAAAAACAAAATTCTCATAAGTCGTGAAAAATTTTCCTCGGCCATACCGGAATAATGTTTACGATAACAAGAGTACCGGTCAACAGTGACAGAGTGATTCATTTTTTGCGTTGAGTAATATTCAATAATCCATACTTTCCTCTGAGGAAAAATTTGTGTTTCGGTGGTGAATAGCTGGAAGCGTTGAGCTTCATTTGTTTTTTGTTGTATCGTGGAACAATTTATATCGTGGAACGGTAGAGGCCGTTGATTCAGTGTGTGTTTTTCGTGATTCTCGGATTATTGTCATTTTATTTGGTGTTTATTTGAACCACGGAATAAGGACTTGAAGATGACGGCAGACGGACTGTTTGAGACCACCAGCATCCCGGGGCATCTCGCTCCCACGCCAGAACGACTTGAGCGGCTTCTTTCAAAACAGACCCTCGAGGAACTCTATGAGGTTGAGGAACAACCTTTCGCACGGTGAGTTTTCTGACTGATTTATGTTTTATGCCCTCGAATTCCCCTCTGCTCTCACTGCTCCAAAAATTCACCATGAAGCGAATTTTAACGACCGAACAAATCTAAATTGTACGTTTTAATATCTTGAGTGTCGGAATTATAAGAATTGACGAAACGAGGTAGATGAATTTATCTAGAGGTTTATACAGAATTTATCACGACCCCTCTCTTTGAGATATCGACTCCATTGAGAAAAATGGAAACACTCCGTGTGTTTTGGTTTTCGCGATTGTCTTTTGTCACGTGCAGGACATGGCGTCTTTTGTTTCAATTATCTGGAATAGTCTAATCACAGGCAGACGTCTCAAGAGAAGAAATCATAACAGACAATGAGCAATTGAGTGATTTTGACGATGATGAGCGAGGATAAGTGTGAATATCTTGGAATTGAAGGAAAATATTGACATTATTGTGAATACATTTTTTGTAGTGGTGTCTGCAAAAAATGTACGATCAAAAATATGGTTGTCTTCCTTGAATTCTAGGATATTCGCTGAAATCGGTCCTCGAAAATACCCTAGTCTGCCAGATAGTTGAAATTGAAAAGTGGATGGATGGTGTTGGTTTTGGAAATTCACGTGAAAAATCAGGGAGGGAATAAAAACAGTTGGCCAGTTCAGAAGGATGTGATTAAACCGTGGAATTGAATTTGGACACTCCTTCTGGCAAAAGGCGTGTAAACCAGTATAGTTTTATTCGGGGACTCGGTCATCAGGCGGGTTCTCTCAAGAAAGAAAGTGCCTCTGGTGAGAATATCGAGGTCGAGATGTTTGCGCTTGTGTATATGGCATATATTTGTTGCTCCTTTACGACCTCGACTCTTGGTTTTCGACTGTTCATTTTTTTTTTCATCTTCCCTCCACGGAGAAATAAAAACCAAGAGCAATGAAACATTTGCCCCGTGGTTTTCACTGTGGATGCACTCGCAGGATGGATATCTTGGTAACCGCAAGGTCAGGGCCTGGGCCAGCTGCTCTGGGTTTATGTGCTCGTCGTGGAATCGAATTCTAAAATTAATTTACATACCCGGAGATTGCAATGAGTTCGATAAACTGTACGGATGGGTCACGGTCGGTGGTTGATGGCCGATTTTATGGGGAATTTTTGATTGTCCGAGTTTATGGGGCACAACGGTAACTATTTCAGGGACGGGAATTCTGTTCTCTCGGGTGGAAAGTATGAAATTGTGAATCGCATTATTCTGAACAGGTGGTGATGTTGGAATTAGTCGGGTGAGGCAGGTGTAGATAACATTTGGTTTTACTTCGTGAGGAATTGAGTTTTTTTTCAACGATTGACTCGTCTGCAGGTTTAAAACAATATTTTCAAATCGTTTTGTTCACTTAATTTTTTTATTAAACCATTCTTCATAGAAAAATTCATATTGACGTGAAATTATTCAGGATATCGCGAATTTTTCCCTAATTTCAATATAACATATATTTTTTGTCGGGATATTGGGAATTTTTGGAGTTCTAAAGACAATTGTAAATTGAAATTAAATGGCCTTGAATAAGAATGAGAGAAAATTTAGGGCAAAGTGTTTCTGAATTTTGCAATAAAAAATCCATTAAATTCCAATTGGGTCTCCCCGATGAAATAAACAAATAAACATTTCTCCTTAGAATTGGGAAAATGATTTTTATTTTATTTTTTTCAACTGCTGATTCAAGATACATCCGATGTTCATATTCCAAAGAATTTTCAATTGTTTCATAAACTCTTTAACACGGCATATCTCTCTATAGAACAATTATATGCAAACAATAAAAAACATTACATTTTCGACAAAAAAATTCTCGCGATAATTTTTGTTCAATTTTTCAAATCGTTCACCGATGATATGTCAGATGTTCAGACATTATAAAAAATTATTAGTGCAGCATTGCAATTTTTCTTTCTCCCATTGCAATAATCAATGCGAATCGGTAGTACTGGGGGGGAGGGTAAATATTATGGCTGCATTGGCCTCTGAACCGTCACTCGAAAATGTAAATAAACTCGATACTATGAGCTCTATTGATCGATTCGAGGTACACGCGGATTTATCATATGTTTTTCAAAGGATAATCCTTAGGCATAAAGAAAATCACTGTTTCCATTTTTTGTTGAGTGAAAAAAGTGGTTTTTTTCCTTTTTATTTAGTGATACCACGATTTTCTATTGCGAATCACGACCGGTCGCGTTGCACATACGCACATTGAATTTTAGTTATGTGCGAAGAAGTGTCCGAGGCGAATGGCAATGTCAGTACGTGCGAGGTTATGATTTATTCATTCGGTTGATGCACAGGTGCAGGTGTATTTATTATTTTCATTTGAAACAAGTTATTCAATAATAGTTTCATTATAAAGTCATGGGGCTTTTTTTGAGGGGCTGAAATATTTGCGGAGAATCTTGTTGCTTTCCCATGGTCGTTCAAGGTCCAGGGGGAAATCTAACGTATAATTAGTGTTAATTGTATTTCATTTGAATTGGGATTCATATTTGCGATAAACTCAAGTCTCCTTGACATTCCTTTTCACCTAAAAGCGCTGAGACGTAGAATGAATTTAATTGACAATTAGCTTTTTAATTTTTATCTCTAATTTTTTTTTATGGGCATTCTTCGGGTAAATGTTTGGGTTGTGTGATGTAATCTCGTGGGATTTTTCTTTGTGAATTTATCTGGAGCTCGTAATATTTGAATAGTGATTTTTTTTTTACATCTGTTCGTTTCAAGTATTTCTGGTTTGTTGTCAAGCGATATACTATCGTGAAAGATATATGACGAGTTATGGAATTCTTGGTGAGGGAAGTTTTCGAGGGTCTCGCAGTTTTTCATTCGAAGTGTTTTGTTAGTTTGACGAGGGCAAAAGCACTGGGTTATTTAGGGAAGAATAGGGGAGTAGATAAATAGGGATTGCACCTACTACTGGGTGTCACTGAATTTTTGTTTGGAGTACAATGAATGAATCTCTGAATGGATGTTTTTTTTTTAAATGAAGGTTTTGTAGACATTCGTTGGATGTAAAAATTACTGGAACATTCAACAAATATGCAGATTAGTCACTCGCGAAAAACTAGTTCGTTAGGGTAACAAAAAATTGGCAAATGAACTTGGAAGAATCTTTAGACAAGAACTAGCAATTTGTACTGAATTATTCGAGTTTTTCATGTTGAGCGATTTCCGATTTTTCAAAAATCCCTTTGATTTACAGAGATTCAATAAATGCCAGTGACAAATGGGAATTTCACCGGAATTCTCTTGAAAATTAATTTTTCGGGGAGTGACACTAGCTTTGGCTGGATGTAAAAAATTCCAATAATCATTTTCTGAGGAATTTTGTAAATGAAAGTTTGAAAGAAATTGTCGACTCACAGAAAGTTCAATAAATGTAACCCATGACAAATTGGAATTTCTCAGAAATTCTTACAAAATTCCTGTTTGGAAAATTGGAGCAGCTAGATGTGAAAAATTTGGATTATCATTTTCTGAGGGATTTTGCAAATTTTTCGAGAAATGAATGTTCGAAAAAATTCATTAGCTTAATGTTTATTCGAAAGAAAGAAATGTACACTTTGGTGTGGAGTCGGAAATAGCCTCTTGGCCGGGCAAAGAATTCGGGTATCGCACGGTATGCACTTGCGACGCGATATTTATATCCATTATAAAGTATCCCCGACCTACACGACTCGATCACCGAGAGTCGCAAAAACGGGGGGAAGGTAAATGTGTATTTTGCAAAAAAAAAAAAGTGGATAATGCGCTGGAGTAAATGGCCCTGGGACAATTCGTTTCACGGTGGCAGCGAGGATCACGGCCTCTTGAACTCCTGAAGCGCAATGGCCTCGATTAGACGAGCAAAAAATTACGGACGTTGACCCTGAAATATTTTTTCCATCATTTCCTCCCCTCCCAACCCTCCCAACCCTCGTCTTTCAACAATTATTCCCCTGGAGTAATAAAAAAAGACATTTTCTTCTCTAGAGAGCAAGAAATTTATTTTCCCCTATTTTTTTATTATTCAATTAATTCAATGAATATTTATCATTTCCACGATTAAGAAGTAAAATGCCCCACAATAATTTTCCCGGTTTTATGGGATCCCGAAATAAACCAGAATAATTAAACTTTTTTTTTAATTCGAGCCAATTACTCGGAATTGAAGGGACATGGCCAATTTTTTGTAAAGAGATCTTTTATAGAAGAAAACGAGAGCTACAAAACGGGTATTTATGAAAAATTGGGTATGTTTCTTCAATCTAGAGATATTGGGCAAAAACTTGTCTCGAAAAAAAAATGCACTTATCCTACCTCACCACTTAGCAACATAATTTCCGTAGTTGATGAGCATCAACAAATTTTTAACGGTTACTGCAAAACGACTGCTTGATTTTTTATAACCCCCAAGAGGCAGCATTCATGTTGGATTACTCCACAATAGGTCTTTGGCGTTGCAATTGCTCTCTATTACCTATTAGCAAAGTACTGTTACGCGGCGCGACGAAACCATTCGTTTCGACGGCATTTAAATATAAATTGTCGTGGTGGTACACGCCAACACAACCACCATTGTAAATACATTCTAAATCTCCAGAGTCACTCGTTTGTTCCCTCTTATCAGGTAATCTCCTAACCGCAGTGTAAAATCATTTTTTTTTTATGTCAGCCTTCCTCGTTCGTCCTTCCGCACGTTAGAATATCGATTGTACGTGCACAGATTAATACCACTCGTTGCGCAATTTCAATGAGCAAAGCGATGAGCTGAATGTGGAATTATCCTAGGGGCGATGAGGGTTAAATTAATCGCTCGACGAGAGAGCTCGCGAGAAGGAAACGAGTCTAATGCCATCTGGAAAAGTAACGGTAAAGACCTCCGGAGCAATTAGTGGGGAATCGTATCGTTGAGTATATAAAGTCTTTGTCGTTTCATTGAGCTCGGTGAAGAGGGGAGACTAATGAAATGATAAAAAATAAT